GACACACAGTTGCTGTTGTCCCATTCATAATACCATATTAGGTAGTGTATAAAAGATCCTCTGTATAGCAGAACCACTCTATTCTGTATCACTATCCTCTGATTTAAAGACACTCCTCTATATAAACTGTAGTAATGGCTGACCCATGCATGTAGGTGTCTATCTTGACTGATGCAGGTGATACTATTCTACACTAGCTGCTTTTATAATGTCCTAACTCTGACCTGTTTAACTTGATTTCTCTTTATAATAGTTTGTATTTTGTTCTTTTTGTTCATTTATCATTGCTTTAGTAATATCCTAAAATATTAATATTTTCGTCATTTCTTTTCTTCTGATTGTTTCTCCTCTTCTTCTCTCAGACAATAAAAGAGACCCAGAGGAATGCTATCCAGATACACAAAGCCAATCCGGACAACCTCTATGTGTCTGCCTCTTATGTTGGCAAAGGAACTTACCTCAAGCGTATCCGATACCACGGGAAGGGTCAGTCAGGGAAAATGTACAAGTATTATTCTCATTATTTCCTGAAGCTACGGGAGGGACCTCCACCTGTTAAGAAGAAGAAGAGTAAAGAGGCCCAGGGTTGCTATGCTACAAGGAGACTTATACAGAGAGGACCCATTACTATACCTAACTGCCTTTGATTGGATTCATAGCATTCCCTCATAGTCATTTATTGTACCTATTGGATATCTCTGATCATAGATATTAGAGTAAATGAATTTACTGAATTTTTATAATGAGTAAATGAATTTAGAGTAATTTCAATATGCTACGCCCCTGCGTGTTTGGGTGGGTCTCAAGACGCAAAGATAGCTAGGACGAGGCACAACAAAATGATTGACCTTTCTCAATGGAGAGCAAGTATTGGCCTGTGGAGTTGCTGTTTAGCTGCTGGTAGATCTACTAGCAGTGGACCTGCTACTAGCTCCTCATTTAAACCTCACAGTACATCCTCACTAGGCAAGAGATGTGATCTAGCTACTGCTTTGGCTCTTTCTCATGTTTTTCTAATAATCATTTTACTGATCAACCATCTCATTCATATAATAGGTACAGTTCATGTTATGATTGTAACCATTCGCACTATGTAATGTTTTTTTATAGGAATTATTTCTTATTACTGCTACTCCCAACTGCATTGTACAACTGGTACTGCAGTCAAGCAAGTACTCTACTCGTTGATGCTCCTACACTTTGCTGTGTACAGTACTAATATGACCAGCTCCTCTTCTTGTTTGATAATATTCCTCCTCCTCCTCTTATCAGGAGACATTGAACTCAACCCAGGCCCTGGTAAGATTAAAATACAGTTTTATCCATGCATTCACCAGGGAATTCTATTGCTTGCAATCTGGGGGTGAATTTCATCAAACCACATCAAACTG